TAATAATTACATCAAGATGACAGGGCTTTTGTGCAAATACATATAGAGATTGAAAGTTTCAATGAAATATGCCAAAATTAAGTGACAAGAATCTCATACACGTTTTTTAACAGCTTCAACGTTTCTAAAGATGGTTTTGATGAATTTAGACAAGTTTTTCATATCTTTAGTTCTAATGCCGGATTGTTATTTACACGTATTAGGCCATTCGGAGAGGTCTTCAGATATGTACATAGACCGCCATTGGAGAAGAGCTTCACACCTGAAAAGGTACATCTTCCCGAGGCAAGGGAATTAGTTGACTATAAAAGTCGAAACTGGAAGATCGAAAGGGTCATGAAACTCGTCACCAACGAACAACAGAAATTATACAAACGTTCTACTCTTGTGATATCCGACCAGCGTCGGTTTCAACTGCTAAGTTATGGTTTGTGGTTATATACTTTAAGATTGGGTGATAAACGTATTTAGTTAGATTAAGATATTTTTCGTTTAAACACTTTCTAAATGGCATTGTGTGTTCATTTTATATTGACTTCTACTTTTGTAGATACATTTCTTATATGTTCTTGATTTTTGATGATAGTGCGCTTTACTGATTTTTTTTTCGAAGTTTCCTACACTCTTTATTGAACCACGGTTTATCTTTTCTCTTCTTCTATTTGGGGCTACTCGCCCGAATGCTCCTAACGCCAAACGTTGTGCGTGCAGCGTCCAACCACACGCGCGCTGTCAGTAGCAAGCTCGTTGACCATATCTAGGTCAACATCAATTTCGCTTGCACACTATACGCACAGTGGGGCGTGAAATGTTATCAATATTATATTATAGCAATAAATTTTAAATTTCTTGGTATCATATCTTAACGGTTTGCCTACAGCAATGTTATCTTCCACTGAATTTACCAAGGGAAGGACACTTTCATTGGCGATATTTCTTGGGGATTTTAAAGCAAAATTAACATGGCAGTGAACATCTGAATAAAATAGCGAGTAATCAATTATTTCAAAATAAATATGAAGAGATAAACATAATGGTGATGAAACAACAATCCTCTACATGTTTGGTTTTTATTTTTCTTTGCGTATTGTTTTGTCTGAGTAACTCTACCATTACGGATAAAGATACTTAAATTATGACACACTTCTATGAATTTCAACCCAAAATTATTAGCCGTATCTTCATCTTGTGTGCGCCTCTGATGTGGTAGCTAAGTCGATCTAATATATTAAATGGGGTAATAGCATTTTCCATTTCTGGTAGATCCATTCAAAATTATCAACAATATGCTTATCAAGTAATCATGCATAGTATTGGTTCTAGCATTGAAATCCCCCATAAGTCTAACATAATCACTGACTGACAGATAGTGTAATAGGGATTGAATTTAGAACGTTCAGGTGGGAGATATACAATACCAATATACATATACAGTCAAGTCCCGTTAATCCGACATTGTTGGTTGCATATGATTGTCGGAATAACGAGTATGTCGGATAAACGAAATTGAGTAGTATCAACATTCGTGATCGAAAATCGGACAACTACATGATAGATAACGATGAAAACACGTAATAAAGAAAATAAAAATGAATTATTCATATTTTTATTTTACATTGTTAGCGGAATATGTTTTCTAGTCATGCAACCTCTAAAGCTCAACACAAAACAACTGTTATGGACTGTATGACTTATTCAAAATACTTTAAAAAGCATAGTCTGGAATAGAAGTCGCAAGTTCGAAACTGGTACCGCAAAGCAGATGACCACGGAGTACGCTGATCACTGTGTCGGATTAACGCGACTGATTAATGAGTGATTTCGGTAATTAGTTGCAAATCAGATTTGTCGGAGTCGGGGTGCGAGGCTGTCGGATTAACGGGTCTAAATAGCACTGATTTAATCGGTTCCCATTATTAGTGTCGGATAAAGCCGATAGTCGGATTAACGAGTGTCGGATTAACGAGGCTTGACTTTGATACTTTGATCCACAAACAAGAAGTGCTTTCTGTTTCTAGGCATGTGCCTGAATGTCTTAAAATATTTCTGATTGCAACACCAATACCACCTGTTCTTAAATACTCAGACCTGTGGTGAATATGTAATTCATATCCATCTAATCTTAGATGATCAAATATGTCAGCCCTGCTTTCTTGCAATACTTCTTAATAAGATCAATAAATTCAGCATATTCCAGTTTCTTTCTTAAACCCCACATATTCAAATTTAAAAAGCTAAACATGTGTTCATTATCATCATTTGCAAAAGCATCACTATCATTATCATTATCATAATCAAAATCATCTCCATCATTATCATCATCATCATCATCATCGTCGTCGTCGTCAGACCCGTGACGATCCGGGGTAGAATAGGTCTTCAACAACCCATGCTTGCCGTAAAAGGCGACTATGCTTGTCGTAAAAGGCGACTAACGGGATCAGGTGGTCAGGCTCGCTGACTTGGTTGATCCATGTCATCGATCCCAATTGCGTGGATCGATGCTCATGATATTAATCACTGGATTGTCAGGTCCAGACTCGATTATTTACAGACTGCCGTCATAAAACTGGAATATTGCTGATTGCGGCGTAAAACAACAAACCAATCAACCAAAATATCATCGTCGTCATCGTCATCATCATCATCATCAGCAGCAGCAGCAGCAGCAGCACCATTATCAGCAGCAAGAACATTACCATCATGAACGTTATTAACATTCCGTTGCCTGTTATATTCAAAGAATTATTTTCTTTTTCGCAGTTTCAAATATTGAGTTGTTCAGACAGTCAGCTGGAGTTTATTATCGGTGAATACCAAATATTTATTTTTCACAGATTCTAGTAAAAAGTTGTTTTGCAAAACGGATACAGATACAACTTTCTTGTCTGTGGCATTCAAAGAGTTGTTGTTTATAGATTCGGTATTGAAATTATTTGCAAGTCAGATATAATTGCCTTATCAGCGAAATTCAGAGAGTTTGTCGCAATTTCTACTGTGGAATTGTTTCAGTTTCGCCCACTTTGTCTGTGATACCCAGACAGATATCTCATATAGCTACAACAGAGCCAGCTGGAGTGTTGGGTGTTCATGGGATCACTGTTTTTCCTGTGAGTGATACTTAGCTCGGGTACTGGGAAACATGCTTGGGGGTAGGTAGCATCTGTGTACGTACATTCACAATCACATGACCACCGCCATCTTCCTATCTATACGACCCGAGAACATCCGGGGTAGAATAGGTCTTCAGCAACCCATGCTTGTCCCCGTGAAGATCCGGGGTAGAATAGGTCTTCGGCAACCCATGCTTGTCCCCGAGAAGATCCGGGGTAGAATAGGTCTTCAGCAACCCATGCTTGTCCCCGAGAAGATCCGGGGTAGAATAGGTCTTCGGCAACCCATGCTTGTCCCCGAGAAGATCCGGGGTAGAATAGGTCTTCAGCAACCCATGCTTGTCCCCGAGAACATCCGGGGTAGAATAGGTCTTCAGCAACCCATGCTTGTCCCCGTGAAGATCCGGGGTAGAATAGGTCTTCGGCAACCCATGCTTGCCGTGAAGATCCGGGGTAGAATAGGTCTTCAGCAACCCATGCTTGTCCCCGTGAAGATCCGAGGTAGAATAGGTCTTCAGCAACCCATGCTTGTCCCCGAGAAGATCCGGGGTAGAATAGGTCTTCAGCAACCCATGCTTGTCCCCGAGAAGATCCGGGGTAGAATAGGTCTTCAGCAACCCATGCTTGTCCCCGTGAAGATCCGGGGTAGAATAGGTCTTCAGCAACCCATGCTTGTCCCCGTGAAGATCCGGGGTAGAATAGGTCTTCAGCAACCCATGCTTGTCCCCGTGAAGATCCGGGGTAGAATAGGTCTTCAGCAACCCATGCTTGTCCCCGTGAAGATCCGGGGTAGAATAGGTCTTCAGCAACCCATGCTTGTCCCCGTGAAGATCCGGGGTAGAATAGGTCTTCAGCAACCCATGCTTGTCCCCGTGAAGATCCGGGGTAGAATAGGTCTTCAGCAACCCATGCTTGCCGTAAAAGGCGACTATGCTTGTTGTAAAAGGCGACCAACGGGATCGGGTGGTCAGGCTCGCTGACTTGGTTGATGCATGTCATCGATCCCAATTGCGTGGATCGATGCTCATGATATCAATCCCTGGATTGTCTGGTCCAGACTTGATTATTTTTACAGACCGCCATCATATAGCTGGAATATTGCTGAGTGCGGCGTAAAACAACAAACCAAACCAAAATCCTATCTATACCTGGTGTTAGGTACAGGCTCTTGTACCCGGTAGGGCTGGGGGGGGGGGGGGGGGGTGGCAACACATTATCTACACGGTTTGTCAACCGTCATGTAAGCTCTTTTATTGTTCTTTCTTGCCTCTCTCAGCGTCATCACTTCTGTAACTATTGACATTTTCAGGAAATTACTCAGCAATGAAAAATTAAGTTCGTTTTAATTGTCTTCTAGCCTTCTAAACTGTGTCCCTCTCAGTTGTATATATGAATTTAGTTATGAGGTGGCGTGGTTTCACTGTTTTACCTGACCGTTGTGGATGACGGGGGCGCCCAATCCCGTGGGCCCTCTTAAATTTAGGTCCTGGCAGTCTAAGTTTTATTTAGACAGGGAGAGCTCACAGAGTATCGCTTCTGAACTTTCAAATGTCGGGGTAATTTCAGTTTCGGGGATGTTGCCAAAAATAAGATTATCTCTTATCGACCTACATCTTTGATGTACGACCGATTCTTTAAGTTGCAAGTTCTCGTGGCTAGGTTTACAATAGCGGGTGTATTCCCCGTAACCTGATCTTGTAGGTTATTCAGGTCACGTTGGCTATCTGTTTTGTCTGGCTGAGGTGTGGCTGAGGTCTGGCTGAGGTGTGGCTGAGGTGTGGCTGAGGTGTGGCTGAGGTCTGGCTGAGGTGTGGCTGAGGTGTGGCTGAGGTCTGGCTGAGGTCTGGCTGAGGTGTGGCTGAGGTCTGGCTGAGGTGTGGCTGAGGTCTAGCTGAGGTGTGGCTGAGGTGTGGCTGAGGTCTGGCTGAGGTCTGGCTGAGGTGTGGCTGAGGTCTGGCTGAGGTGTGGCTGAGGTCTAGCTGAGGTGTGGCTGAGGTCTGGCTGAGGTCTGGCTGAGGTGTGGCTGAAGTCTGGCTGAGGTCTGGCTGAGGTCTGGCTGAGGTCTGGCTGAGGTGTGGCTGAGGTCTGGCTGAGGTGTGGCTGAGGTGTGGCTGAGGTGTGGCTGAGGTCTGGCTGAGGTGTGGCTGAGGTCTGGCTGAGGTCTGGCTGAGGTGTGGCTGAGGTGTGGCTGAGGTCTGGCTGAGGTCTGGCTGAGGTGTGGCTGAGGTCTGGCTGAGGTGTGGCTGAGGTCTGGCTGAGGTGTGGCTGAGGTCTGGCTGAGGTGTGGCTGAGGTCTGGCTGAGGTCTGGCTGAGGTCTGGCTGAGGTCTGGCTGAGGTCTGGCTGAGGTGTGGCTGAGGTCTGGCTGAGGTCTGGCTGAGGTCTGGCTGAGGTCTGGCTGAGGTCGCTTCGTTCTCAGTTGCTTTAAAGTTGATTAAAGTAATCATCAAAAATCCAATTTACACTGACAACGATTATTGATTAATATAACCAAAACAAATATACAAGCTGATTAGCTAACCAACGGTATTACAGTAACACAAGAGGATAGCTAAAAGAGCACTTTGACAAGATAATTGACAGGATCATAGACAGCCCAAAAGGTCGGCTATGACCAATGAACACCTGAGGGTTAATATACTCTACACTGTAAAGAGTTAATAACCTGGGCTGGGTTACAAAGGGAGAAATAAACACAGAGGGCTTATCCCTAAAATAAGTTCCTTGGAAAATAAAATGGACGAACATGCCTGAATAGCAAACTCGTCTCATACACCAAAGACTCAGACACTTACTTTGACTTGGCAAGGGCATTCTAAACGTCCCCCTAACATACAAGATGGTTGACCTAAGATGTATCTAGACCCACAATCATTATGTCCTTGTCTCTAGAACCCCAACAAACAGAATCCAAACAAGTGTCTACCGGAAGCACGCCCACACCGACCGTACTGTATATATTCTGTACAGTGTTCCTCATTCAGTCTTGCTTGACAACGGTATAAGGATCTGTATCGAAACGTTGCCTTTACAGTATTAATCAAAGTAATCCCTATCAAACAGTTTATGAGTATAGGTGTAGGTTCTTGCTGGAGCTGGGACGGGCAACTCTGGTACCCGGGTCGGATGGGTACTGAGTAGGACCCGGGTATGCACATGACTACCCGGACCCGTGGTCAGTCACGTGATATATTGTTTCATGACCAAAAAAATCACTGTATAACTACATGGTTACACGACAATTTTAAGTCTCTAATGTTTGCATTTCTTCATGACTATGAACACGTTCCTTCTGACTTAAATATGTTTGAACAAAGCCAAAACCTTAGTAAACTCCAGTGTATGCATGACCACATCGTTTTATACGTGTATCTAAATACATTCTGCCAGGGCTACTGTCAAAATATTCCCACTCGGACATGTTGTACCTATCTCTTGACACCAACAGCGGGTACCCGGGGCCGGTGTGGGTACCCGGGTAGTAAATTTGGACTCGTCTCAGCCCCAGTTCTTGCATCAATAGTCGAAATGCATCCATTATGCCTCAAAGTGAGATTGACCAATCAGAGCGCGCAGAACTACTAGATGAAGTAAGAATGGGGGTGCAATATTTTCAGCCGTCTGACGTCTGTAGCATCTCTTGTTCTACACAGCCATTGCGTCAGGGTAAAACATAGGTAACAAATGTTATATTTGGTATAACACTTTCTCAGTAAAGTACTGATTATCGTACTTTTTGGGTTGAGTCCCATCCGGGATTCGGACCCACACTGTCAGAATGAGGCAACTCAACGCCAGCACACAAAGTCAGCGATTTAGCCATAGGTAGGTGAGAACGGCGTGTTTAGAGGCGCGGGGCAATAACGGGAAATCCCAGTGTTTGAATGAAGCCGGTCACTTGGAATAAACAATGCTCTTTGTTAAATGGAATAATATTTTACCTAGCCCTAGCGATTTCATATTTGATCAATACGCATTTTCATTATTTGAATTGTAATGAATAGTAAATCATATCCTTATAGCTTTTTTTAGGTACAGTTTGAATCCACCACAGAGGGAAATATACTGTGTGTGGATATCACCTTGGAATGCGGAGGTAAACGATAAACAATTGTCATCTGTCTCGGCTAACCATCAATGTTAGAAACTGATGAATGGAGCGACTACACAAAGCGTGAAGTAAACGTGTGACATATACCTGTAATAAACAGACAGGTGAACAGTATTTCAAAATAGTACAAACAGTTTGGTCCAGACAGGTGGCATTCAGTTTACATCCAACCTACGATGTGTCAAAATATATATTTGCTCAAAATGGATTTCCACGATGAGGTCTTAAAAGGTCGGTTTTACGAGCGAGCAAGACCGTCAAAAAGTATACAAAGATTTAGAAAAAGCGAGAAAAGGGAATAGAGTATTACTTGGTGCGTTGGTTTTGATTCGTGGGTGGAAGAAAGCCAACTACAAAACATTCAGTGAACATTATGGATAAGTATATGTATGTTTTTTATAAACACGCCCTACCGCTTCCATGTCACGTTGTCCCAACGTCTACGATTCGAAGGTCTGTGGATAGTAGCCCCGGCTGAAACTTTGGTGAACTATAAATTGTTTGATAGGCATTACGGATGACGAAGTAGACACAATTTATGGATAAAAAGCATTAAAGAAGTTTTCCGAACTTCTCCTATTCATAGTTTGTAGGTGGGGGCTAATGAGCCATCCGACCCTTAAACAACGTCGCATTAAATTATCTTTGTAGTATATCTCTTAATTATGTTCTACTAAATCCAATTCACCATATGACTGGACCTTTGAATCCTCCTTACGAAAATCTCTACAATACGAAAATCATCTCTCATTCCACCACTTTGAATAAGAATACAATCTGATATTTCTGCTGCTCAAAACAATCTTGGAAATATAGCCCCATTCGGCTTTTATCTTCTCCGCAATGGGAGTTAATAAAGCCAGGAGTTGGCCCTAACATTAACTAAACTAACGAAATCTGAAACAAATAAACTAATTTATCAGCAAGAATATAATCAATTAAGAAGCATTTCAATACATACAAATCTATATTTACAGATGGATCCAAGGACGGTGACGCAGTTGCTAGCACCACTGTCATTGGATCCAGGACTATATCATCACGAGTAACAGATAACTGTTCCGAATCAAAGGCAAAAGTAACAGCGCTAGAATATATCAAAGTATAAATAATGTATTTCAGGGTCTCTTTCCTGTCTTCATACAATCAAAATCAATCTTGCAAACATGCACTTTTAATCGAAATTATTTAGCTATATAATAATCTGGCTGCACTCCAATACGACATATTTTTTTAAGGTTACCCAGCCATGTTAGCATCATTGGTAACACAATGGCTGATGCTGAAGCTAAAGCAGCAGTCAACAAATCTGTGACACCACTACTGATTCTATACCATGATTACAAGCCCGTGATTGGATCCTACATCCGGGATCTGAGGTAACAGAAGTTGGACACCCAGGTTAGGTGTAAATAAATTAAGTGAAATTAAACCAACAATCTGTTACTTCTACTTGGGTTGTCAGTCAATGTCGTATTGGCCACACTAGATATAGTTCAGTAGATATGTACTCATGAATATTTATATAAGGTGAAGATCCTCTATTCTGTATCCCTTGTGACGACGGAATCACGGTCAAGCATGTCCTGCTTGACTGTGTTGATTTGGTTTGGTTTGTTGTTTTACGCCGCACTCAACAATAGTACAGCTATATGACGGCGGTCTGTAAACAATTCAGTCTGGACCAGACAATCCAGTGATTGACATTATGAGAATCGATCCACGCAATTGGGATCAATTACATGCATCAACCAAGACAGCGAGCCCGACCACCCGACACCGTTAGTCGCCTTTTACGGCAAGCATGGGTTGCTGAAGACCTATTCTACCCCGGATCTTCACGGGTCTCTGGGCTGTGTTGATTTGTCCATCACAAGGAATCAATATTTCAAAGTTTCATCCATAAACCTTAGTTCACATTTAATTCTTGGATGTTTAAAAGAAATTGAATTTATTCATAATTATAAGTTGGCAGTATATAATTATTGACTGAGATTGTTAGTGGTCGTTCCCTCGATGGTGGTTGAAGTAGCGTAAAATTATTGCCCCCCTAAGTCCATGTCATTCAAAGTATATCTATATTTACCATTATCTTGAACGTAGAATATGTGTCATTTTGATTTTGGCTAAAACTGCATACAGTCGCCAGAGGCTGAAGGGACGGGGCGCAGGTAGCAGAAGTATCGTAAATCCCCACGGTCTCTTGTATGGGGGTCTAACTTTGGCTGCTGGCGATCAATAGCCCGTTTTTATGATATATTATGAATAGCGATTTACTTTTATGGTTCCCTTTTAGTTTTAAATATCGATTTGTGATAAGTCTAGTTATTTTACTGTCCGTTGTTAGCAGGTTTTTATAGTTTAAATGTATTTGTTATGTGCGACCCTTGAAAGTCACGATATGGCTGAAATACTCCCGATGTGACTTTAAATTATAACTCACTCACTTAGTCATTGTTGTCAAATTGTCTTTTCCTGTTTACCCCACTTACACAATATGTGATTGATCTAGCAGAAACATTGTATCTTAAGTCACTAATCACCACATCTGTGTAGATATTGATTTATACAAATTTGAAAATATCAACGGTTTGGTAATCGAAAACAAATATAGACAACTACACTTCAAAATTCTTCACAGTATATTTCCATGTAACGTATATTAAGATAAAATTATCAAGACCAGTAATAAATGTGACAGATGGCTAGTGCATGAAACAAGACAGCATTATGTGTTTAACTGTCATACTGTCCTTCCATTTTTTGGTATTTTCTTTTTAAATGGATGAAAGTGAATATATAAATAAATATCATATTTGAAAGTTACAGAGATACAGTGTCATTTGGGTGAAAAAGAGTATGTTTACCGATGAAACGATACTCATTTATCTTCTATTTAAGGCAAAACATTATGAGTACAAATGTAAAATTCTTGAAATGATCTGTACATTTAATAAGTATGTTGAGGAGCTAGAGTTTCATGTACAAATTACAAACAAACACGAGAAAATGGACCATGTAATGATAGAGGGAATATCAGAAGCTCTGCCTATTAATGTCGACTGAGCCTTCACCTACTACGATCAGTGAGGCCAGCCACGTGGTCCGGTAGGGTATGGTGTTAATTCGTGGCGCCTAATGTGAAATAAATGACATAGATGTCAAAAAAAGAAGAAAAGTCACTAATTATGGCATGGAATGAATTCTAACCAGCCACCCAAAGTTGCATACATTGCAGGTAATGGATACTCTCAGTGTGACCTGGACGCTTACGGCGGACGAAGCCAGGTCAACTGTGACGAACTTTACAC